ACTTTGTCCTCCTCTGCCTGCAGGTCATCCAGGGTCTGCTGGTGGGCCTCTTGGAGGGCCTTCTTCTCCTTGGTCAGCTTAGCGATGGTTTCATCCAGGCCTGCCATCTCCTCTGTGAGGTTTTTCACCTGCAAAGGTTAAGAAAGAGGTCATTTCTGGTACAAAGCAGCTTTGTTGGGTGGCAGAACCTCTGCATAGTACATGAGAATAGGCTTCATACCTTGTTCTCTGTGGCGTGCTTCTCCTTCTCAACCTTGGCCAGTGTCAGCTCAAGGTCATCTATGTCTTTCTTCAGTTCTGAGCACTCATCCTCCAGTTTCCTCTTCTTGGCTGTCAGCTCAGCATTAATCTCTTCCTCATCCTCAGCTCTCTCAGTCACCTCCTTGATTTTGGCCTCCAGCTGGATTTTGGTTTTGATCAGCTGGTCGCATCTTTCCTCTGCATCAGCCAAGCTATCTGCTTCCTTGAAAAAACAATAGATACATTTAGTATTTAGTTCCTTGGACATTTTCAAATACTATTAATGTTCTGAAACTAAATAAGTAAAATATGTTTTCAAGCATCAGATTAATTCTTACTAGCTTTCCACCATTGAGCAAATACTAGTTGGGCACTTATCACAAAATTGGACATCTTTTTAAAGAAATTCAAATTGTGGCTCATGGTAAAATTATGACACCTATATTTCCTGTGACCTATGTTTAACTTGCTGGTATATAATTTTAGATCAGTTTTCTTTGTTTAGTGTTTGTTTTTTAAAGTTTAATATGTAAGAGGCCAGTAAATGAAAGGACTTGGTGTGTAGAAGATTGGTAGGAGGAACAGCAATATCAGAAAAATTATTTAAAAGCAAGGCATGTCCTCCAGTGATATAATAGTTTGGAATTAAAGGGGACATCCAGAAAAGCTAAGGGGAATGGCACATGTTAAAATGTGGTGCTTAGAGAAGTAACAAGAGTGTTTCACATGAGACAAAATGGGAGTTAGAATATAAACTTGTGACAGCACAGGTCATGTTTCTAGCACAAAGTGGTATCACTGGGGCCTGGAATTTATCAAATATGTACTATGTGTGCTGTTGATGGAATATTATCGAGAGAAGTCATCCTGTACCAATGGGAGAGGAGTATACTTGGTTCAAGCTGAAATACTTCCTTCAGTTACCATTTGTTTCTTGCAGGCATGATGAACCTCTCCTCAGTTTAGAAAATACTAGTCTGTACAAAGTACAGTAAAGTTGCAGAACTAACTTAAGTATTTGCAGTTTGTCTTTTTGAAAAACTTTAAACTATGTATCCAAAATCTGTAGAACCAATGGAACCAATCGATTCCCTTTCTGAACTCAAAGAAATGGAGAATAATTTAATGTTTTGGTGACAGTTTTGGATCATAAAAAATGGGCTATACAGTGGCTGTTGATCAAATATTTTACCACAGTTCTCTGTATATTTATTAGGTCTTAAGAATGGGATTATTAACATAGAATATCCAAAGGGATGCGAATTGGGGAAAAATGTGTAACTGGCTGCTTAATTCCACAGAATTGAGAGCTTATCTTAGTGATCACTGAGCTGAAATTTTAGCAGCAGATTGCAAAACTGAGATCTGACACTCACAGCTTGAACCTGGAGTTGCAAGTCATTTTTCTCTTGCATCAGAGCTACCATTTTTTCTTCCAGCTCCTTTCTTTTGGCCTCAGACTTTGCAAGACTTTCTTTAGTTTTTTCAAATTCTTCCTTCATGTTGGCCATCTCCTTCTCTGTCTCTGCACTCTTGAGGAGGGGCTTGATCTTGAAATACAGCTTCATCCATGGCCAGTGCTTCACGTTCATGAAAGCACGGACATTGTACTGGATGCAGAAGATGGACTCTCTTTGATAAGAACAGACATGCAAAAAACCAGGTTATAACAGGAACCAATTTAAAAACCTAGGGCAGTGGGGGTAAAGTACGTTATCCTTGTTAATACCTCCTCTCCACCATCTTCTGGTACTCCACCCTTGCCAAGAACCCTCTGCACATGGCCTGGGTTCGCGTAATCAGTTGAGCCAGCTTCTCATCTCTCATCTCCTCTAGGAGCCCCAGAAGACCAGCTTTGAAAAAGACCTGTGCATAGGCAGTGGTGTAGATGAGAAACCACACATAAATTTCAAAGGGACAGGAAAAGCATCAGGTTGGATTTAGAGAACATTACCTTGGTGTGACCAAATTTATACTGGGTGTGGTCAATGTCAATGGACCCAAGGAGCTTCTCAGAAGCCTTCTTGCTGTCAATGAATTGTCCTTCAGGGATAGCACTTGCATTTAATACTTTGTATCTGTTTAAGACAAACAAATAATATGGTTGTTGTCATCAACAGGAAATCTTCCTGCCATGGAAATAACATAACCATTAGGTAGCCAAACATAAAGAAGAAACCACATTCTTCCCTTTTGCTCTGTGTATTCAAAAGATTTCACATTTTTCATATATCCATAAATAGTCTAAATTTATCTCCTACTGAATTTTAATAAAAGGTATAAAAGATTAATAGAGGGATTCTTTACTGAAGAATCAAGTAACAAGAATGTCTTAAAGTCAGAGTGAAAATATCTGACCTCTGTTTGAAGTCTGCATAAAGGATTCTGCTTGGGAACCCTTTTCTGCAGATGCGGATGCCTTCCAGCACACCGTTGCACCTCAGCTGGTGCAGGACCAGTTCGTGCTCCATGGCGCCTGAAAGAAGGAGTGCCAGTGCCATATTTCCTGTCTATAACAAACACACTGCAGCTTGTCTGGGTGAGTATCAAAAGTGTCTTACCAGGAGTTTTTGTTTCATTGGGGATGATGCACCGCACAAAGTGGGGGTGAGTGCTCCTCAGATTGGTCATCAGCTTATTCAGATTCTCCTGTGGAATTGTATAAATACTTGATTTGAAAATGCAGTTTTTGTATGTTCATATGTACAGATATAATGATCATGGTCCATGGCATTGACGCACTTCTATGAACAGTATCCATGTTAGAATTTTCAAAGAGTTACCACTAGAATTTTCACATTCCCAACATGCTCTCCTGCTTTATATTTTTTATGTATTATAAACATATGTTTCTATAAGCTGTTGAAGCAGTTGTTCACTGATGTTGAATTACCAAGCATATGTTTTAAATTCAGTATGACATTCTAAACATATGAGATTAATCTCTTTTTTGCCTATATATGCAGTCTGGTTTTACTATTAATTCAGTATCTTCTCCAAGTCTCTTGCTTCTTTCTTGACACAATTTTCAGTTATCTCTACCTCTTTCATCACATGCTTATTCCTTTGAGATACAGAGCTATGTCTTCCTGCTGGCATCACAGAAAGTGACCTTTTAATCCTCATTCTTCAAGATAGCATAAAATTGCCAGCCATGTTACCAAGTATAACAAATTTTCTGTCCTATGAAGCTGTTTTCTCAAAATAATTAGAGCTTCAGTTGTTAGAATTGCAATTAGGGATGAGATTGCTAAAAGAAGAGTGTATTTTCCTTCAAGAGCTTTTCGTTATCACATCAAATTGTGTTCTTATCTCTTCTTCTTTGGGCTCACTCTCCAATTTCCATTATTATCCAGCTATCCTCAACTTTCACAATATGCTCACTTCAGTTCTATACTAATTTATACTTAAGCACTTTAACCTCTTGGAGGCTACTAAGAGCTCAAGAAAATCCCATGCTGTCCTTAATCCTATCCCAATGGCATCATTTAAGTGGCAAATGACCTCATTCTCAAGCACGAAAACTGAGTATAGCTGTCTGATTCTTCTACGGTTCACTCTGCTTCATACTAGCTTCCGTGTCTAATTGACTGAGGTGTCTCTTCCAAACTATCTTAAAGCTCTTTAAAACTCAATTCAGTCACAATTATCTGACCCATCTTCCTGTCACACACACAGTTTTAGAGTCCTTGCAAGATTACTTCCTCTTTTCCACACAAAGCATAGACTCTAATAGCCTAAGTCTAGTTGGAGAGAAGATGAAGTTGGTACCCGGAAGAGAGCGGACACGGTCTGGAAAGAAGAACCCTTCTTCTTGCCACCTTTCTTCCCACCGCCAGACTCTGAAGGGGCAGAGAAAACATGAGCAGTTATAAGATAGGCTTCCTCTGTTTGTTTTATATATTAAGTAAAATATTAGTTTATTGAAAATTACCTGCTTCTGCAGCAGCTGCTGCTCCAGAGAAGAGATAAGCCAGAGTTTTCATGGAAGACTTCAGGTACAGCCCAACCACTGTCTCATTCAGGGGGTCCTTGTTCTTATCGAGCCAGCCAATTATGTTGTAGTCCACGGTGCCGGCATAGTGCACCAGCGAGAAGTGGGCCTCAGGCTTGCCTTTGGCGGGCTTGGGCTTCTGGAAGTTGTTGGACTTTCCAAGATGTTGCTCATAAAGCTTGTTCTTGAAGGAGGTGTCTGTTGCCTTGGGGAACATGCACTCCTCTTCCAGGATGGAGAAGATGCCCATTGGCTGGAAGAAAGAAAAGCAACCAATGCCATATGAATTCTGGAATGCCTATCAAGGGTGTGGCACTATGGCAAGCTCTGGGATATGGCAGAGTAACACAGATGAGGGCTGGGCTTCTGTGGAGTTTATGTTATGTACTTTTGGGAGTCTTCAACAGAACCAGAGTGTGAAAGCTTCTGCCTTAAACTACTAGAAATTTACACCTCAAATGTAGTAATAATGGAGCTACAGTTAACAAAAAAATAAGTAAAAATGCCTGATCAGTGCTGTTTTTAACAAGGAAAAATGGCTTTAAATGTAAGGCTTTGTATTGCAAACTCTGCGTAGGTATAGACTTCTGGACTTTATAGAAAATATTCACTCTCCTTTTACCAGAGTAGCTACTGCAGAGTTCGCCAAAGAAAGAATTTTCACTTTTATATACAAGTAGAAGTTTTTCCTAAGGCATATACCAAGATTTTATGATTTTCTTTCATATAATTGATATAATCTGTGGTCTGAAAAAAGTAAGAGAACCTTCTCAATGAGCTCGATGCAGGCAGCCAGGTCCATCCCAAAGTCGATGAACTCCCACTCGATGCCTTCCTTCTTGTACTCCTCCTGCTCCAGCACGAACATGTGGTGGTTGAAAAACTGTTGCAGCTTCTCATTGGTGAAGTTGATGCACAGCTGCTCCAGGCTGTTGAACTAATATGTGGAAGATTCAAATTAATGCTCAGTTTCTAATGAAAGATTCTCTTTGAAAGGTGAATTTCTCAATTGGATAGCCTAACTGCCCCCTTAGGATGCTACAGTTTTGTCTGCCTGTAGCAAGCCCCTTATTCAAATTTCATCCAGTTTCTATCAGCTCACACATAGCAAAAAGTTTAGAAATGGGACCTTAGCATGAGACACATCAGAAATACTGCTGTCAGCAGCCTTATTAGTAGTAAAGTAAGCTATATAGCATTCTTTCTTAGGCAGACAAATATGAGTTTGTTTACAATGCTATTTCTATCCTCTACATCTGGGTATGGGAGAGATTATCCTAATATTAAAACAGACTTCATTTCACTTCTTTAGGCAGATAAGAATCTTAAAGTCTTTTGTCGAATTTGTCCTTGTCTTTCCCACCACCATTTTTTATTCCATCATTGCCCTTACCATCTTCTTTTTTATCATCTACTGAATGCTGACTTTGTGTTGGGGACTGTGCTAAAAACTATAAGTTCAGAATCTTTTGATTGGCAAAAAGAGCTCAGAAATGACTGTGTACGTGAAGAACTAGGTGCTTTCCCTATGAGTCCTCACTGAAACTGCTCAATGATCACTTGCATACCATACCATTACCACACAACTAGGAGTTTCTAGAGCTGGTGTTTAAATCCAGGTCTGTCTCACTCAAAGTTCATGTCTTTTCATGGGCAAATTTTGGTTCCCTTTCATGTGTCAGTTAAGTTTATAATGCAGCCATGTTTCATAGATCCTTTCCACGCACAACTGCAACAACATTTGTCAACTATTCTGCTATCAGTTTCTGCCAACTCACATCAAAGATCTCAAAGCCAGCAATGTCCAAGACCCCGATGAAGTACTGCCTGGGCTGCTTGGTGTCCAGCTGCTGGTTGATGCGGGTGACCATCCACAGGAACATCTTCTCATAGACGGCTTTGGCCAGAGCACCCACTGCATTGTACACCTTCACAAACACAGTAATATTTATTAGCATTAAAAAGACATGTCACATGGTTGGGTCAAATGTGTGATTTGTTGAAGTCATGTACTTACCTGCTGCACAGTCTGGCCTTTGGTGACATACTCATTGCCGACCTTGACCCTGGGATAGCAGAGTGCTTTGAGCAGGTCAGCAGAGTTCAGATTCTGGAGATAGGCTGCCTTGTCAGCAACTGTGAAAACATAATTCAGTTGCCCAACATGACTTGTAGTGTAGAAGAGGCGTGAGTTTGGTTTTTCTGGTTTTTCTCCGGTACCGGGAACCGAACTCACAACCTTGCGCTTGCCAGGCAGGCCCTTTTGCCACTGAGCTAAATCCCCAGCCCCGAGGCGTGAGTTTGGATGGGCTTTTTGGCCCTATGTTCTCTCATTAAAGCCAGGTAAAGGCCCATTTTATACCTTCAGTGCCGTCGGGCTCTGCTTGCTCCTCACGCTGCTTTTGCTTGAATTTCATGTTCCCATAATGCATCACAGCCCCGGTGAGCTTATAGATGGACACTCTTTCATCAGAAGTAAAGCCCAGAATGTCAATGGCACTCTACCAGGAAAGAGAAGAAAAAAGTTAGGGCAGAAGACACTAACTTACTTAGGAGAGTGTATACTTTATTCTGAACCACACCCACAGCAAGCTGTTACTGTCTGTCATCCCCATACATAATGTATAACTTACATCAGTGGCCATCAGCTCTTCTTGGTCATCAATACTGGGGACTGTGATCTCTCCCTGGCTGACGAAGGCATAGTCGTATGGGTTGGTGGTGATCAGGAGCATTTCTGTGTACATAGAAATCACAATATACATTTTACATCAGAGGTCAGTAGAACAATTAACTTTGAACCTGTGAATTTAAGTGTTTCTTACCAATTAGATCTGGCTTCTTATTAGACATGATCTGATAAAAAATATGGTAGCTTCTTTCAGCCTTTAGCTGGAAAGTAACTCTAGACTTCTCCAGAAGATCTGCAATAGAGGACAGACATAGGATTGGAGGAAAATTATAAAGTGCTCTACAGTGATTTTAGAACTTGAAGCCAAACGTTACATCTGACCGGCCCTTTGAGATTTCACTGAATGTTTCCATGAAGCACCACATATCATGTCTTTATAAACACCACTGCAGTTCCTGTTACCATCTCTAGAAAGTGAAGTATGTATGGCCAAAGACAAGTTAACTTCTCATACAGAGGAACCTTGATATTTGAAATACAGTACAGTACTGAGATTTCTCCAACCCCGCGGTCTTCAGTTACTCTACAATCAGGGCACTACTAATAGCAATACTTATGAATACTCAGACGAGGAAGAAATCCTATATTCTCAACCCAGAGGCAACACATTTACCAATCCCTATTGATACTCATTTCTTTGAAAATTTTGAAATTATTCTGAGGCCAAGACTTTTCAGAGAAGCCAAACAGTTCCTGGTAGTTTCTACAGAATCATTAGCTCATGCCTGTAGTGGGTAGAGAGCACTGTGAGCTCTGGATAAGGTTGGCACCAACCACAGGCATGCCTGGCAGCAGACTGGGGTTTTATGAGCTCTGCACTCAGCAGGAGCTGCAGAATGTTCCTCCAAAAACCATCATTTGTCATTCTTGGATTCTGCTGAGGAGGTTCTGTTACTCACAGGTTTCAATATCAGCAGAAGCCAGCTTTCCCGTGGTACCAAAGTGGATCCTGATGAATTTACCCTGTTGAATAAAAAACATATCGCTATCCACAAATCTCAAAGCACACAAGAGTGATACAATTGAAATCGTATGCTTTCTGATATGCTTTCTCTGACATCTAAAGGCAACGAGGCCCCTTCCGAGACCAAGAGACTTACAAAGCGAGAGGAGTTGTCATTCCTCACAGTCTTGGCATTGCCAAAGGCCTCCAGTAGGGGGTTGGCACTGATGATTTGATCTTCAAGGGTCCCCTGCAAAGGCAAGAGCAGTTCTTGCACCTGGGGCTTGGGGCTTTCTTGCATGAGGGCCCGACAGAGCCTGGATTCTGACCGTGGCAGCCAGACTCACCTGCATTTTGCCAGAAGTTGGTTCCTCCTTCTTCTTGTCCCCAGTAACTGCAATTGTTGCAAAGTACTGGATGACACGCTTCGTGTTCACAGTCTTCCCAGCACCAGATTCTCCACTGACCAAAACCCAAACACATGTGAGAAATTAAGCACTGTCACAAATGAAATTATTTCTACCACCAGCATTTTCTGCCTCTTGTATCTGTCTTTATGTATCTCTGAGAGTCTTCTAGATCTTTTTTTTCAGCCTACAGATAGCTCACATCATTTCTCTGCTTTACACTGACAAGAAGTAGAGAAATTCATTCTTTATCACATAACTGTTTAAAATGTTCCAGGCTTTTTTCTAGCTTCTAAGGCCTGTGACTGAGAAGGTCCACAAAGCAGTCACTCGACAACTGTATGGTAAATGGAACAATTAGCAAGAAACTCTACAAAATGTGCATCTGTTCTTCAGCTCTCTTGGACTAGAGATGAAGCTCAAGTTAGGTCTCTGAAGGTACAGTATAGACATTCTCTGAGTAGGCCCACTGACAATGTTCCTGAACTGCTCTGTCTTCTGAAGGCTATATGCCACTCTCTGCACTGTGTTGGACCCTGGCCAAGCTCAGAGAAGCATTTTACATTTTCTACATCTAGGAAAGTCCTTTGGAACTATCATAATTAGACTAACAAATGAGTATATAGTTTGGAGCATTTTTATTTTAAATTCTTACTCAGTCTATACCCTACCATAAAATGAAAACATCACCTTATCTTGTTCCTGGATGAGCATACTATTGCATTGTTATGGGGGCATTAATGTTTTTTTTCTTGGTTTGTTATTTTCCTAGTAAGAATAAAATAGCAATAAATATCAGAATGAGAGTACATACGTGATTAAGATAGACTGGTTCTCCCGATCTAGAAGAAAATAATGGATAATCAGTATACAATTTGAATATATAAGTGTCATATTTTCCGTAGAGTTTTTCAACATATTATTATGAAGTTATATATGGTATTATTCTTAATCCTTTTTAAAAAACTGGCTGAAAGAGAGTTTTTATTATTGGGAAAGAAGCATAAAGTGTTGCCACATTTTAAGTTCCTTAAGTTGCCACAGGAAGTTACCTTGCTGATTTAACTTAAAGAGAAATGTGGCTCTAAAGCCAAACATATCACCTCGTTTCCATCTGTAGATTTCACTGCAGCTGTCTGTTGATTAATGCATGTAGCTGAAGAATGCATACTATGCTAAGAGTTTAGACTGTGGTTAGACAGGTTACAATAATGTAACTCAACCCAAGGTTGAACTTTAATTTCTTTGTCTCAATGGTCACAAAGTACAACTCTAACTATGATCAAACTTCTCAAAATTATGACATTGTGTTAAGGAAAGATGAGATAAAAGACAGTGGCTTTATCAAAATGAATTTCTTTTAGGAAAAAACAAAATAATTTCTGTTTATATTTATGTGGCTTCCAAACATCATCTTTATTCGAGGCCATTGTTTCTAGGATGTACTATGATGACTTTTAAATTATAATGATGCTTTGAAAAGTATACAATTTACAAGCAACAAGAAACTGAAGCGCTAAAAGGTTGAAAACATATTTTTCATTTCTAGTCATATAATTTATGATTCTGTTGTTACTTAGTCTTACTTCTATTATTTAAGTGGATAAAGTAAATCATGTGTTTGCAGGTTAAAAAAGTTAATGAGGATAAGGCAGTCACAAGGTCTAGTAAGGTAATGGGAAGTGGAATGGTGAAAGTTGAGTTTCATCCCCAGCATTGATAGTATATAATTTTCTGTGCTTTGATCATCTCTTCTGAGCAACAAGAGAATTGGATTAAGTCATTTCTGAAGGGCTTTTGCTCTAGCATTGTGTGATTATGGATGATGAAATTATTTATATGAGAATCAATTGACCCACTCACCAGTCAGCATGAACTGATAGGCATTGTCAGAGATGGAGAAGATGTGGGGCGGGGCCTCCTGGCGCTTTTTGCCTCTGTAGGCCGTCACCACCTCTGCATTGTACACCGGCAGCCACTTGTAGGGGTTGACGGTGACACAGAAGAGGCCTGAGTAGGTCTATACCAATAAAAAAATAAGTAAATTAATTAATTAATATTTTTAAAGAAATATAATTATTTGATGGGGACCTTAACCATCTACTATTTTAAAAATAATATTAACTACCTGCATGAGTACAGGGTCAGAGGAAAAAAACTCACGTAGATCATCCAGGCTGCGTAACGCTCTTTGAGGTTGTACAGCACCGCAGGCTCATGCAGGTGAGTCATCATGGCCATGTCCTCGATCTTGTCATACTTGGGAGGGTTCATGGGGAACACCTGGTCATCTTTCACCGTTACTGTCTGCTCAGTAAAACAGGAGAGATGGGGTCAGAATGTAAGTGTCAGCTAAATAAACTCAAAGCATGGTGCACTCTAACCAGTTCCAAACATTTTACTCACAGATCCACCTTCAGTCTTGGCTGTCACCTTCCCCCCTTCCCTGCTCTGCACTGTTGCTTTCACAAAGGACTCTTTTGGGTCCGCCACGAAGACAGATGTCTTGGCATCAAAGGGCTTGTTCTGAGCCTCAATGCGCTCCTTTTCAGACTTCCGGAGGTAAGGAGCAGCCTCCCCAAAAATGGCCATGTCAGCGTCAGAACTCATGGCTGCAGGTTATGATGGCAGCCCCGCTAAGGACCTTGCCTGGCAGAAGAAGAAAAGAAATAATAGAAATTTAAAAACTGGCCCATTAAACTCATATTTTAAAAGTATTTTTGCAGATTCGTTGACCGGTGGGGCACTTAGCATTGCACTGGGTATCACCACTTCCCTGGCTTGGTTGTTCATGAAATGTCAGTCTGCTTGTTCTGTGCCAGTGCTGACAGGTACTTAATCATACATTTGGAAGGAGACATTTGTTTCTGGATCACCTACTGTGGTACTGTAGCTGCTTTCTGTGTTTTATTTGAAATCTATACATATATATTTGTAAGATATATATATATATCTTTGTAAGCTAGCTATCACTGTTTATAAAGAATGAAAGATAAGATGACGGCAGGATGTTCTCTGGCTCTTTCATAGATTTCGCCTTCCTCATTGGATGACAGGCATCTTGTAGGCAGGGACCACTCTTCTCTTAGGCATCCTTCAGACCTCTAAAGATACATGCTGGATACAGAGAAAGGCTCAGAGCTGGCTTTGCAATGTAAAAGAACAGTTAGAATATGTGGCCAAAATTTTAGGGACTGTTTTGTATATGGTAAGAAGTTTTTCATTATAAACTTGGGGGTTACAAAGACTGGCTAACGTTAAAGAAAGTCAAAATGTAAGGAGCTTTGTTTTGCATTGTTTTGTTAAAAATATTTTACTATACATCAGTTTATCTTGTCCCTTTATTGTAACTTTGACAAACTTAGTTTCTTTGTTAGTCTTTGGCATTTTTCAAAGTTTATTATGTCAGCTACTAACTATATTTTCTCTCTCTATTACTAACAGACTCATAAAAAACTCACAAAACTTTATCTTTCAAATCTATCTCTTGCCACTTTAACTTGCATTCATGGATCATGCCAATAGCTCTCATACATAATGTACTTTATGATAACAAAGGAAAGTTCACTTTTAGAAAAGTTCACTTGAGTAAACTTTTTCCCATTTTCCCATTCAAACTGCAGTGACTCCAGTAATGATTAAAGTGATTTGTCTCACTGAAACCATTTTTCATGCCAGGTTTTAAAATTTTCCATTTTATAGATTATGAAACACCATGAGTATTTAGACAACTTTTAAAGGTGAGAATTCAGATTGTTCTAGTTATCCATTTAGATATCACCCCAAAATCTTTCCCTTAGTGCTGAATAAAAGCTGCACTAAGACAATTTACATTTTCCCTCTTAATGGAGAAACTCTGAAGTGTTGCATCACATGTTGTAATTATTTAAAAGGCAAAGTACAATGCCAGCAGTAGAAAAAATGTACATGAAACTCCTAAAGGCTCTGAAAAAGCATTTGCATATACTGCAAAGGATGTGAGTTAATGAGACACAGTTTCTAAAATTTCCCTCAGAGTTATTCAAGAGAAGCATGGTCAGTCATGAAATTGAAATGCTTTTATTTTTTAACCTCTAAGCCTCTTCCCAAACCACTGCCTGAAGATTCCTTGTTTTCTGTAAGGGGTGATAAAAATAATCAGGGTCTTACCTGTAGAGATGAAACCTTGAAGTGGGTCAGAACTGTAAGAAAAAGAGCAAATTTCTTCTGGTTAAATTCTAGTAATTCCCAACAATAGCACAATCTTTAACTGAGGACCAGGAAATGACTGGGAAGACCACGACATCTAATTAAAATTGCTGCAGGGTGAGATGGTGCTTGACTGGCAGGGCTGCCAGGACAGTGGAAGCCAGGATGTGAGGCATGCACGCAAGGAGCCAGGCATCCCTTTGCGTCCTCCAGACAGGGCTCTGTCCTCACACACTCTTACCTTGAAGCTTTATGAGGAAAGACAAGTCACAGTCATTCCAAGGGTACTTTTATAGGATCAAATATGGAAAACACGTAACCTCCTCCTCTTTCTTAAAACATATTTGGCAAAACATGTTTTTGGCAAAGAAGATCTCCAAGCCTAATTCCCCTCATATTAAAGATGTTTGGATATAATTAGAAATATTCCCTCTCACATTGGGTTAAGTATATGAATCAATCTCCTATAAATAATTTGAGTTGTTGGCAATCTAAAAGTGAGCTGCCCTTGGAATAATGTAAGGTGTTGTTTCAAAGACAGCTAAGTTCTGGAATGCCTGGACTTTGTTGCCTACTGCTCTTCTGTTTCACCCAGTTGCCTGTGTGAAGTCTTTTCAAGTGCCTGCACAATTGCAATATTATTCTAGGGGGAAAGTTTCTGCTCCTCAGCTGAGTATTATAAAAACATTGTTGGTTCCTCCCAAGACGACGTAATTTTTTTCTTGCAATTTATCGTACTTTTTCAAGGATGCTTCAAAACTTAATTTTAAACTTGCTTCACAGAGAGCTGCCAAAGATGGTGCCTTTTGTTTCTTCCCTCAGTCGCCTCTGACTCATTGTCAAATCTTCCCATTCCCACTTCAGACTTGTTCCAAAATTGCATTGCCTTGCTGAGCAGAGATGTCCTCTTTCTCTCACTTAAAAGAAATGCATGTCGCCTGAGATAGCCTTTCTTCTACAAAGCTGAACATAGAAAATATTAAATTTCATTTCTCTATGTCAGTGTTAGCGTGTATAACTTTTCTTCCATTTACCGCCCATGATACTCATTTAACATTTTGCTTGAAAACAATTCTTGAACTTTGTTTTCTATTCTGACTTCCGATTTTAAAATGTTTGTTTTATTGTTTCTGTGGCCTTTTGTCTCTCTCTGGCAGCATTATCTGGCCAGGACTGGACCCAGTATGCCCGGTTTTGCCCCTATTTCCGTATCATTTTACATAAATTTCAATCAATGGAGCAGAAATAATTTGCCTTGTGAAAGCAGTATCTGCAAGTACTAGTTTTAGTGGTCATATGATTTTGTTACTATAAGAGACTATCAAACTCGTATTTCTCATTCTACAAATAAAGCAACTCAGATCCAAAGAATAGAAGACTCTCCACAGATCATACAGCAGTCTAGGTCCCAGTCACCTGACTCACCGTCCCGCATGCTTGCTGGTGACACTCTTCTACTTGGAGTGGATTAAAGCCGTTAAGAGGGGTCATGCAGGGGATGTGCATCCATGAACGGCTTTCCTAGCCAGCTATTAGCCCACTTTGTCATCACAGGTACATCGTTTTGCTTTCTTACATGTCTGGTTCTTTATTTGGCATCTGTAAAATGTGAGTAATGATTCTCAGCAAGAAAGAGCATTTTAATAATGCTCTCAGAATTTGATGAGAATTTGAAAACAGCCTTTGTCCTTCTCTGGCAAGATTCCCAACAGGCAGAAAGTAATGCTTTGGTTTTGGTCATCACTGCCAAGTTATGAGAGCCTTGAGCATTAATGGGTGAGGTTGAAACAAAGTGAAGGAGGAGCCAATACAGTGAGAAAAGCAGTTCTACGCTCTTCCTAAGGCTGGTGTGATGGTGTGAATCTAATTTACCTGTTAAACTGCCTCCATACATCTTATTTAAGTCATTCTCACCTGGTGCCATTTAAGTCAGGTTATTTCTTTCTATTCTGATAGTGCATTAACATTTGGTCTTTCCTGCTGCTGTCAAGACTGTGTTTGTTGCTGTATATCTTAGCTGTATCCTGTTAGAAATCTTAACCCTCTAGGAAAACTACTGAGTAATCTGGCTAGCTACCATTTCTACTTTGTGTACCGCATTTGCACTCATGGTTGTGTGTATATACTTTTGAGTAATCTACTTTAAGATTCATATTTCATTGGTATTTTTAGTCTCATTTTTATGTGTCTATACAGGTCACATAAGACTTTCCACAAAGTCTGGGAACATAGACTTATAGCTTATTGATACTAATTATAATATATAAGACCATATTCTCTGTGTTTCCAGACCTGATAACCAATGTGTAGCTTTCACAGGGAGGAGGGCCACATCTCTCTCAAACCTATTACCTAATGCACATACTGTGGGTCTGTATACGGTGCGCTGGTCTTAATGTTGAAAATATTCATGGGCAATTAACAGTGCTGTGCATTTGTATTCTTGGTAACAGTTATTAAGCATGCGGAAATAATGATGCAATTCAGTCTGACTCCCCTATGTGAAAATACAGCTAATGCCATCAGTTGCATCGACCTAGAAAATCAGGTTCATGTTAGGAGAAGCAGAGCTTTCTAGGATTTTACCATTCCCAGTAATCAGGAAAGGTTAGAAAGAAAAACAGCTTCCAGATTTCTATCTATCAGAATAGGCTTTCCAAGTAAGTGACACCTTTATAGTCAAAGTATTGCAACAGACCTAAAATAATCACGGATACCTAAATCTTTCTTCATGCTATGTTGAATGTGATTGTTTGACTGCGTTCAGATTTTTCAATCTTTGATGTCACAGGAGAGTGAAAAGAGAGACGAGCCTAAGGATCTTATTTGCAAAGTACCCTCTGCGCTTTATTTTCTTTGCAGTCGGGTAGAACAGACAAAATTACAAAGGGAAATGACCAAAGACTTCACATTTTGTGCCTCTCTCCAGTCACTCCACAGCATCAGGGCTTGATCACTCTTCACTTATGACTTTTGTGTGAACCTCCCGGCTCTTCACACGCAGTTTGTTGACCTGGGACTCAGCGATGTCAGCCCGTTCCTCGGCTTCCTCCAGCTCATGCTGGAGCTTGCGGAATTTGGATAGATTTGTGTTGGATTGTTCCTCCTGAGAATGAAAATGGGATTGTAAGACACCCACATTGTGCATCTTCCTCGTCTCTGTAGCCATAAGGAAACAGGACTTGGCATCTACAAATAAACATGATCTTACCATCTCCTGGACTTTGCTAATCATCTGAAATTAGTTTCATGATTTGAGTCTTGGCATCTTATAAATAATAACAACCCTATTTTTGCTACCAAATCATATTAAAGAATATGTACCACAAGTACAGCAAGAGAAGTGTACATATATATGTATAATTGGAGGAGAAAGCAAAAATATGAAAGTCAAGATTGATGTTGTTAGACCACAACTTAAATATTCTCTATCAAATTAAGGATGAATTTAATAATAGTTTTAAAAAATTAAAATAAATGTTTGATTTTATTATATATTATTTTGGCTCAAAATAATATACAATGCAGTGGCACAAACCCAGTACATTTTCCCTCCAGCTTTGTATGCAACAATTATAGTGACACATTCCCTAATAAACAGTAATTCTAACATTGTAGGAATTAAGCCTATTTAATTACTGGCAGACAACTCCTTTAATAAAGGAACAGTTTTATTACTAGTAATTTATCCATGCTGCAAGTGTCCTCATCCTCATGGGTGAAACTGCCCTTCTTTTCTTCCCCCTGTGTTCTCTTGGACAGGTTCTGGTATGAGGGTTATGTGAGCTTCTTAACATGAATTGGAAAGCTTTCCATCTTTTCCCATGAACAGTTTACATAGCTGGGGGATTATCTGTTCCTTGAAATTTTGAAAGACCTGCCTGGAGCTGGTTCCATTTTCAGAAGTAATTCTTAAATATCATATTCATACAATTTATTAATTGTTATTCTCCTAGAAAAATCAGTTTCTTTCAGATTTCAACTTTCTGGATAGGTTTATCTGTTATATTAAAAAAAATCCTCTCTGTAAATGGCTTATTGTCTTTCTCATTTCTAATGTAGAGACTTTATATTTTCTCTCATTTTTTTCCTTGATTAAACTAGTGATGTCTGTTAATTTTATTAAATCCCCCAGTTATCAAATATTATTGAAATAATCAAATTAGAAAACAGTATACTCTACTTAAGAAATTTCTACTTTTACTTTTACCAGTGTTTCTACCATTGTTTTATTCTTATTTGTAATTGCTGCAATGAACTGTGGTTTATTCACTTATTTTTATTTTTCATTCACAATGAAAACACATAAAGCAATCTGTTAGCCTCCAGGCACAGCTTTTTTGGTTTTTCTCCGGTACCGGGAACTGAACTCACGACCTTGCGCTTGCCAGGCAGGCGCTTTTGCCGCTGAGCTAAATCCCCAGCCCTCTAGGCACAGCTTTGACTGGGCTCTATAGGTGTGCAAAAGTGGGAGCTTCCTTGTAATTTTATTTATCATTAATTCATTATTTATTAATTATTATTTCTATTTCTCATTTAGCCCAAGAATTATTTAGGGAAGCTTCTTTTTTTGACCGTTAAGTATCTCAGTGGTTTTTAATATTTTCTTGTCACTTTACAGTTTTATCACACTGTCCCAGAGAATATAGCTTGTATTTTTTCTGCTTTTCTTTGAGGTTTCTTGTGGACTGAAAGTTTACTTTTAAGCTCCAGTTATAGATATTACAAGTGATAAGCAATAAGTACAAAAGTATACAGAAATTTTAAGTAAACTGTCTTCTATAAGGCAATTCACTTATAGAAAAGGGTGGTGCATCAAATTACTTATTAGCTTTTCTTAATTCAAGGACTTCACTTTTCCCTTTTATCTTAAGGATACTTACAGCCTCCTCAGCTTGTCTCTTGTAAGATTTTACTTTTGCCTGAAGTTTATCTACCAAATCCTGGAGCCTGAGAATATTTTTCCGATCTTCTTCCGTCTGAAAGATTATCAAAATCATAGGGCCTTACTTCTGAAGTACATGACTATTACATCAGAACATTGAGTACTTCACATATATTTGGAAAAGTG